GACCCTTTGAGGGAGAACACGAGACTAGGCTCCTGGCTCCGGGGCCTCGACCAGCCTCGGAGAACGCTTCCTCTCGCAAAAGCACACATTTACTGCCCCCCAAGAGGCCTTAATTGACGGCATAATTAATTCAAACAGCCTTTGTTGCAGTCAAGGCGTTTTTCGTTGTCATGGCAAACATGGGCTTCTTTACTTCGAATTGTCCTTCTCGCTGACCCGAGAATGCTCCGTTGTCAAGGCGATATGAGATTGCATTTTGCGTAATTAAGTGGTCTCCACTGCCTGCCGGCTAGGAAACGGTAGAAAATGGAACTGGAGACCACGCCAATCAGAGGTTCTGGCCGTCGATCGGACGACCGTCCGAGCTGTACCGAGCCTTTTTGTGTATCACATCGTCCCACCTGCTTCGTTGGACATAAACGAGTGAAATGCAAGTCTCGACGACTCTCCCCATTTTCACAACGTCCTTCGCCCGAGTTGGGCGAGGCGATGAGCTCGACCGATTGGTGCCCCACCAAAGGCCTAGCAACACGATTTGAGGTGTTCGGGACTCGCAGTTTCTACCGCATCTTTCTTACCTCCTCGAGGAAGTAGGTTCAGGCCGGACGGAAGCTGACGTGTGCGGTCCTGGTTCAAAAAGCGATTGTGGATTGCGGAACTAACTTTATAATTATATCATAATTATTACGTTCGTATATTATATATTGATAGCATACAATATATAATATTATTGTAGGGATTAATATTAAACAGAGGTCAGCGTTAGATGTGTTTCCCCAAGCAAACGGTGCAGACTTTTCCATCTCGATTGTGTCCAAGTCCCGGTTGAAATGAGGATTACTGACTGATCGAGCTCACATGATCCTTGAAGGTTGGAGTTACGTGATCCACATCATGATGGAAACGGGCGCATTTTACAAACACAGTTGTAGGATTGCGTATGTCGATATGTATAGGTGTATGGGTGTGTATGTGTATAGATGACCAGGTGTGCAGAGGCCTATGTGTTTCGGTGGGTGAGAGTGTGAGGGTGTGGCTGCACATGAGATTTGATGTGTAGGTGAAAAGATGTTTAATTATTTGAGTAAATGGCAATCAAGGTGTGTACGTGTGTACGCGTGTATGCGGGATGGTGTGCTCGTGTGTTTGTGTGTTCAAGTGTTGGCATGGCGATGGGTGCGTGTGTAGCAGTCTTGCAGTCCCAGTGAGTAGGAGTGCAGGCCTGTTCGTCTGTGCGTGTGTAGCCGTGTGAGTGTGCAGCAGTTTCGAGGTTTAAGTGAGACAGACTTTAGGTATTTATGTGTGTACTCTTTTAGGCGTGTGAGCCTGAAGGCAAGTGATGTTGTGAAGTTTTGGTATCCGTGTGTGTGCATGTGTATATGTATGTACTTGGAGGAGAGTATAAAACAACTTCAGGATCTAAATAAGAAAGGGAGTAGGTATTTACGCGTCTATGCGTGTGAACCTGTAGATAATTGGGTTTATGAAGTTTTGTGTTGAATGAGTAGGCGTGAAGGTGCCTGAGTGTGTACGTGTGTATACGTGTGAATTTGGGGGTAAGTGGGTGTGCAGCCGTTTTGGTGTCTAGGTTACAAATGGTGTATGCGTCGATGCGTGTGAGCTTTTGGGGTACAATTGAGTAGGATTCAAGGTGTATGCATGTGAATTTGTGGGTATGTAAATGCGCAGCAGTTTTGGGGATGGAATGAGTGTGTAGATGTTTCGAGGTGTAAGTGAGTGGTCCGCGTGTGTTGCCAAGTGGACGATTGTGCGAACTAATCACACGTAAACCTCCATCCTCAGTCGGGTCTTGTGACGAATGGGGTTGCCCAGTCGCCTTGTCCAATCCGGACGGCCCCAGGCCTTTGTAGACACGGCGATCAGACACAATTGCACACACGTCACGCTTGAGTGCCGAAGCGTACCAGCCCGGCTCAATCGTCACTTTCGTCTGACATCCACATTCTGAGCGCATTGTGCAAGGGACGGCAGAGCCGACTGGAAGGTCTCGGATGCTCGAGAATGGTCCAACGTTGCCAAATTCAGGGCTTATTGTCATCTCGAGTGAGTGTGTGTGTGTGTGTGTGTGTGTGTGGTGAGGAGAGTGCCGTCAGGCCAGCAGATATCTGGCGGGGAGTGAGGCCGTTGAAAAGACTCGGCGACTTGGGTTCGAGTCCCGCCAGAAATGGCGCGTGAAGAAGCCACTTTAGGGCACGACGTGTCGTCCGGAAAGCCTATTTATCGGCCTTCTTCAAAGACACCCGGAGGAGCTCCGATCGTGTCAATCGCCTCTTCTGACGAGCCTCTCGCGCCAGTTTCGGACTCGTTTTGCGCAAGAACAGACGCTCGGAGCAGAGCTCGAGGCTGGTCCCGGAAGCGGAACTTGCGCAGATCCAGCGTCTGTCCGTCGTGAAGAGGACAAATGAAGGCACAGCAACTCGATGCAGGAAAATCCATCTCCGACAGGTCCCTTGGGGCCTCCGCAGACTTGGATCCTACGCTTCAATGGACGCTCCGTCGCCAACTAGTCTTCCGCCCACTTCTCCACCTCTTTGTCCTTGTGCCTGTCTTTCTTATTTTCTGATTTTTTATGTTGATGACTTCGGCGGACCCTTCGGCTGCATGTCTATAAGTACTTTCGTATGGACGTCTTTGTGTAGGTCTATGTCTAATCCTGAATGTCACTCTTTCTGCGCGTCTCTAGGCGCATCGGTCCGTACCACCGTCTCCATGTCCGTTTGCATAACTGTCTCTACGCTTGTACATCCAGCGGTACATCTATGCGTAGGCCCGTTTATATGTCGATATTTGCATTTGTCTGTAGGTCCGCATTTATGCTCGAATGTACGTCAGTCTGTATGCCTGTCTGGACGGTTGTGCATTCATTCGTCTGCAGTTCTTTCCGTATGCTCGTGTGTGCCTACATCCGTCTGGTTGCTTGTGAGCTCCACTAATTATTAGATTGCTTTGACCGGATGATTATTCTGCCATGGTAACATAAACTAATGTTGTACCTTTGGTGCAAAGGCAGATTGGCAAATTTTTGACACAAGTCAATTCTCTTTTACGAATGCATTTCCATGTTGGCACTAATGGCACTTTTAGCATAAACTGGCAAGGAAGAGAGTAAAATAAATGTCATCGGTTGGGACAATGCCGGATGGTCGGAACTGGTTGTTCGGCCGCTGTGAAACACTAAATAAACAGGCGGGCAAGATGGGAGCGAAGGAGAGAGTGTCAAAAAATGCATGCTCATTCATGCGTGACAGTCGGAGAGACCAGTTCCGATTGGCTCCACAAGCTCCGGCAAAGATGATGAATGCTGATAGAGAAGACATTTGTTGTCATCTCCAGCCTGAACGGCCATTCACAGCTCGCCTCTTCGTCTCATCTTCTCGTCAACAACCCTAGCGGGTCTCGAACCCTCCTTGTGTCGGTCAGGAGGTAAACAGGTTGACCACTCGCTCGCAAAACCCTGGCCAGACAGTGTCACAAGACAAGAAGGTCGTGAAAATGGGATTTTCCTATCACCAGGCAACCACAGCAATTGGGATATAAGCTGTCCTCGAGACTCGACTGCCGTCGAGTGGAGGGTTACCGCCGTCACGGTGCTCACGATCCGAGTTCGAATCCCCTGGGGTTGCGGGTTTACGAGACCGAATCCAGGTTGTGCTGGACTTGCACTTGCTCATCGGGTTTTGGGAAAATTCAATTGTCAGCCATTGAATCCCCTTAAATGGCTAAGGCATCTAAGCTCCTATAAAAAAATCTCTGATAATCTCGAAAACTACTTATATCGGAAATAAGTAACATCGTCGAGGAGAATGGCAGACATGCTTGACTAATCGGCAAACCCACTAGAAGAATGTGAGATGTGTTTAGCCTATTTCGTTTAAGACAGTGATTTCCTCGGAGAGCTGCGGCTTCAATTTGAGAAAATGTGCAGTGATTTGCAAACTCATTCATCACATTAATTATTAAATATCAATTTAATGTCAATAAAGCAAAACAAATAAGGAAGATACACGAGTTTTATTTATTTTTATCTCTTACTTAGGGTAAGGCGCTATGAAAAAATTTTAATTGATAAAGGGCGCCGCAACTAGAAAAAGTTTTGGAACCACTGGTTTAAGATGATGAAGGACTGGCGGTTAAAGTTTCCCACAATCCTACGAGTAGAGCTAACGTTTCCATTGCGTTCCACAAAGCCTTGCTTTCCCAAAAGTTGTTCTCATCCTTGGTGGACCGATGGGGGTGTAGCTAAGACGTGTGTGGGGTCGAAACTGCAGTCCTTTTGTGAAAGCAAGGCTATACGAAATCCAGTGGGAGCGCTACAACTGTACTCACATAATTATGGGAAAATTCAACTGCCAGTCCTTCATCACCTCAAAGGAAATAAGGTGAATAAATTTCATATACCGTCTACTGTTGGCCAACAGCATCCATCGTGCTTCTATCCATAGCGCCAAGTCGATAACTTCCTTTGCCCTAGTCCCTTGTGTGCCAACTCATAATTGTTGGGGTTCTATTTGTTTTGATTAGCCTCATTGTAGATG